TATGAGGCAGCCCAGGTGGGTTATGATCTTAGAGTCATGATGCCCAGGATTAGAAATTTATGTTGAGTTGGGTGTGAAGCCACTGTGCCCGGCTTTCATGGGATTAAAGTGGCCATACAGGATAGGTGAATTGGAGATGAGTGAAACTGAAAACCAAAGTACAGCTTGTGAGGGATGCCTGGTGGCTCAGTTGGTTAACTTCAGCCTAGGTCATGATCCCAGGGTACTGGGGTCAAGTCCTACATTGGGCTTCAGCAGGGAGCCTGCTTTTCCCTCTGCCTGCTGCTCCCCCTGCTTGTGTTCTCTCTCTGACAAATAAATAAATAAAAATCTGAAAAAAAAAAACAAGTACAGCTTGTGAAATTATTGCAGTTAATTCAAAAGGTACGGAGAATATGGTCAGTGAAAACAAAAGGAGAACATTATTAGGGGAACTGCAGAAATTGGAATTGATTAGGTATAGGGGTGGAGTGGGGATCAAGGAAAGGAAGTAGGAAAAATGTTCCTCTGAGTAATTGGTGATGACGCATCAAAATTTCAAAATCCAGGTGTTGTCATATAAATTTAAGCAGAAAATACTTTCTATAGCATTATCCAACTCCTGTTTTTCACCCGTCATATCATAAATCCCTGATGGAATTAGGGATCTATCTGAGTTGTACAACTAGTCTGGCCCCAGGTTCTCCTGTCTATTCTTTGGATTTTAAAGAAAGAATCTCTTCCTTCAACGTGTTAATTTTCCTGTGAAACCTTAAAATTAGGCTGATGCTTTTATGTTCCTAGCATAGTTGGATTAAGTAAATTGAGTTAATACTTTTACTTCTTTCATAACTGTCTTCAAGATTTATATTGTGAGAGATGCTTGAATATATACCATGAAAATAGTAATACATGAGAATCTTAACAATGCTTTCAGATTACCTTAGTGGTTTTCTAATATTATCCAATTAAATCCTTCTGCTTTAACTCTGCTTAGATCAGCTTGATATTATGGCCTCCAGGGATTTAGCAGTAAAGAAATACATTCCAACTAAGAAAGTTTAAGTAAACTAGCAAACTGAGATGCTAGAGCTTAAACCCAGGCTTTTTCACTCCCAATCATAAATAGCTTCTAGTTGCAGGACAAGATGTAAATTTTTCCCTTTAGCAGGATACAATTCAGAGCTGAACAAAAGCTTAATGATCAATTATCCCATGAATTGGCAATGTTTTCTGGAAAGGATATATTGTAAATACTTTTGGCTTTGCAGGTGATATAGTTTGTTTCAAATGTTCAATTCTATTGTATTGCAAAAGTAATCATAGACAATATGTAAAGGAATGGGTCCAAGAAGCCTTTTTTTACAAGAACTAGCTGAAGGCTGGATTTGACCCATAGAATATAGTTTACTGATCTTCTCACCTCTATCTAGTCTTATTCCTGAGAAGAAAACTGTAGTCTCCCTAGATTATTAGGTTTGTCCAAGCTTCTTTTGGCTGGAACCCAGAAATCTATTTTATTTTACTGTTTTTGATTCTAATATCTCTTTTAAAAGAGCCATTTAATAATATCAGTCTAATTGAAGATTTGTGTCTTCCCCATCCTCGGCACTGTAATACCAATTCTTATTGGTCTTTCTGTGGTGCTCATGGAATTAGTTTAGGTAGTAATGTCTTAATTGTGCTGCCAATAGTTTTTTAATTATATTTTCAATGGAGATTTGCAGGCATCCAGTCCCTTGACTGTTGGTCTGCCTTTCTTCCAGATTCTGCACTCTGTGGCACTCTGCAGTACTGTGTAACAAAGTTTTAATAAGCATACTTCACAGCAATTGTATCAATTTAACTTTGCAGAATAGCAGCTAAGACTCATAACCGATCAAGGAGATCCTAGAATTGTTCCTTGTATCTCTTTCAATCTCATGTTCCAATGGAGCCATGATTAATTTTACATTGATAATGGTAAATTGATACCTACCATAAGAAATAAATCTTTATATAACTGTGCTAGTTAGCTTTTATTTCACCTATCTTTAAAAAAAAGATGCAACATATAATTTAAGACAACCAAATATTTTCCAAGTGCTTTTGATTTGTAATTCAAGTTGATTCTGCTAACAACCTTAATCAAAGGCCAGCATTTTACTTCTGTGTCAGAGCCCTAAGATTCGATTTTAGAAAACCTATCTTTATTACATTTTCTGCTTCTAAAGGACTCTGTGTTTTATATTAAAGTAGGCTGCCTGGCATTTAAAATAGAAGATTAAAAACAAGATAGAAAACTTTTCTGTTTAGAGTTATCCCCCTTCCAACTGTGTGTGTGTGTGTGTGTGTGTGTGTGTGTGTGTGTTCCAAACTTCAAATATTAACCACTTGTTAGCAATCCAACCACACTGTTTTAATTTTAAATACAATTTGATGATATACATACTTCTAATTTAGCTGATTTCTTTCCCTCATAAAAGAGGAAGTGAATTTTTTCACTATTTGCACATGATCATAAAACTCACCTTTAAATCTGAGAAGGAAGCCACAAAATGAGGCTTGGGTCTACTGTTTGTGTCTAAATTCCAGTTTTGCCATCTCTGTTATAATAACCGAGTTCTTGTATGATTATACAGATTCGAATCCCTGGTGGTTGCTAAAAGAGAATACAAATGCAGAATGAAACCTAGGATCAGGCCGTGGTAGTCTTCCTCATTTAATCAGGCTTAAAGTTAATACAAAGCTAAAGAGGAAAACCAGAAATCATTTTCCAATGATGTTGTAAGAACAACCCAATAATTCATTGGTATTCAGAGATGGAGGAGAAAACATATTGGGAACTTAAGAAAAATTGTTTAGAATCTATACATTTTAAAAATCAAGCGTTGAGGATTACTGTAAATGGAAGGGGAAAAAATTAGGTATTGTGGAAATTTTTGTAAACATTTTTGAGAGTATCTGAATGATAAAATTATGTGAAGGAAAAAAAAACAAAGGAAAAAGAAACTATAAATAAGGTAGACAGAAATAGATGAACAATTTAATCTTTTTTATGATTTATTTATTTATTTGAGAGAGAGAGGAAGAGAGAGAAGGAGCAGGAGTGGGAGCTGCAGAGGGAGAGGAAGAGATATCTCTAGCAGGAACACCCAGTTGGGAGCCTGATGCAGGGCTCAATCTCAAGAACCTGAGATCACGACCTGAGTCAAAACCAAGAGTCAGAAACTCAACTGACAGCACCACCCAGGTGCCCCAACAATTTTATGAAACAAAACCAAGTTATGCTACACAGATTGTATTACATTAAAAAGCAAAACAAAACAATATGCCTCTATTTATTTTAACACCCTTGGTAGATTTCATCTCTTTGGAATCAAGAAAGTACATATTTAAAGAGACTGCAAAAGGTTGATTTTAATGGCGAAGTGTTAATGCCATTATAAGGCATAGTTGACTATCATTGTAGTTTGATAAAGTCTTAGTTTAAATCTCTATAAAATAATTATTTTTTAAATATTTTACTTATTTATTTGACAGAGAGAGACACAGCGAGAGAGGAAACACAAGCAGGGGAGTGGGAGAGGGAGAAGCAAGCTCCCTGTTGAGCAGGGAGCCCGACGTGAGGCTCGATCTCAGGACCTTGGGACTGAGCCACCAAAGTGCCCCTAAAGTAATTATTTACATGGGCAATTATAACCAGCTTCGGTGTACAGTTCCATCGATGACTATTGTTGTTTCTGAGATGCAAGACACCAGAAGGGATATTTATTGTTATGCTATATCTTCATTCTCATAAAAAGTAAACTAGTTAAGGGTCAATTTGCCCTAATTAGTACTTAAAAGTATTGTGTTAAAGAAAAAGGAGAAGTGTATGTTGTCTAACACAAAAATGGTAGCACTTTTCTGGAATATGGATTCAGCATTGATTGATTACATATATATTTTATTCAGTTCTAGAGCTTGAGAGTTCTCTTAAATATAAATTCAGATTTTAATTGTTACCAAAGGATTATTTAAATATTGTTACAATCTATGGCTTTATATTAGAAGCATTTATTTAAATACTCATAATTGGTTGCCTTGTGCCAAAGTCCATTGCAGCTTCCAGAGTAAAAAATAGGTTCACCTCACACCTTAGGCATCTTAGATATTTTAAGCAGAATAGAGTTAGAATGAATTTTGGAATATCAAAAAAACGATTTTCCAAAATGAATTTCACTTCAGATAGGTATATTTCTCATGCTAGTTTTGCTCTACATTTGGTGTAATCAAGTGGAAAAAGAGTTATTTGAAAAATAAAGGGTTTTTAAAAAGCAATAAGAAAATTGTCTTTCCTAAAGTTGTTCTTGAATTATCTGAATTATCTTAACAAAAAACAATATCATTTCAAAACAAAGTATGGAATAAGGGGTCATGTGCAAGATCTTATAACTTGAGAGCTCCTTGAGTATATATGCTTGGATCTAGAGAAGCATAGTGCATCTGCCTTTGATTATAGTTACATGGATAAATTCAAACTTAAGAGCTGTATTTAAAACATTTCAACATACACAATGATATTATGTTCTTGGAATATGGCACATGGTGGTAATTTTTAATATAATTATACATGTCTGACTGGTTGTCTTTGAAATAAATTATTAAAAAGAAGACATTCATGGCAAAATCAGAATTTCTCATGGTTTAAGTCCTGTTTATCTTAAAAAATTCAAAATAAACTCTTTGAATAAAGATTTCTGTTGGCTTCACCACTGTTAAAATACCTTTATAGGAACTTTGGTGTAATTGCTAAAATGTTTAGTTTAACTGCTGATATTGTGCTCCCATATTGTCAAACATTAATGAGAACAAGAAAATATTCTTTTTTTGAGGTGTTTGTTAAGAAAAAAAATATTAAGGGAATACTAACAGAAAAAAAAAGAATTAGCTATGAATCTGTTTTCATAGTAGTCCTGGATTCCTCATCTCCAGGAAGCAAATAACCACATGCAGTCACAATCATTTTACTCTTTGTGTCATTTTGCTCCAATTCACAGATTGTTTTAAATTTTACCACAATGGACCTATACAAAAGCAGTTTGTGCTGGTATGACTACATTGAAGTGAGAGATGGGTACTGGAGGAAATCACCTCTCCTTGGTAAGACTCTTTACCGCCTGTGTGGGCATTCATCTAGTCTGTCCTTTTAAGTAGATTCTTTCAAGAGTCATCTTAGAAACATATGTGGCCCACATTTTAATTTTTATTATACTCTTTTCAACCACAGCAAAACACAGATCAATAGAGAGATTGATTTTAAACTAGCTTAAGTTATGAGGAAATACTTGGATCTGAATGTAATGACTGAGAATAGCCTCCACATGTATTTTTAATTCGATAATCACCACTTTAATGAAAAACCCAGATAAATGATGCGGGAGCACGTGTATATGTTTTGTTTTGTTGGCTAAGGCAGTGGAATATGAGCCCCTAGGTCTGTGTTTGGTAGCTGGTTTCTCCTACCACCCATGTTAGCTCTCACTGTGGACGTCACGGTTGTGCTTCTCAGAGAGTTTTTGTGGCTGAGGAGAGGCATTTGTACTTTGTGTCATAAATTGTAGCTCAGTTTTGGTGCTCACAAAGGTCTGCTGCCAACATGTAACCACAGACCACACCATTAACTTGCATGAGGCACTTTACTGTTGCCCTCTGTTTTACTTAAAGGTGAGAGCTGTTGTGAGCATGTAAGCATCTACACTAATACTGATTTTTCTTTGAAATGGCAACTTTTCCTTGGTTTTTGGAGGTAGCTTTGCTCAGTTGCGTTTATATGCCATACAGATCTTTTTTTCCTTAATATCCAAAACCTGCTGAATGGACACTGTTGTATTAAAAGTGTATTAAAAGTCTTAGGAAGTCCAAGACATCTAGAAATGTTTAAACATAAGAAAAAATAAAGAGTTGAATGAAGGTGGTAAGTCAGGTTGAAGAAAACATTGTCTTGAGCATTGCGTTTCTTAGCCTAGGTGAAGCAATCTGTACTATAGGTACATGTGTTCCAAAGAAAACATTTCATTAAATTCATATTGAAGAGCCAAATCTAAAGCAAAATAGTGGAGCACACTTCTTTTTAGAACGCCGGCAGCATTACACGCTTCGGCGTATAGTGGGCCAACAGACTGGTTCAGTCTGGTCATCGTTTTCATGTGGAAAATTTTCCCCATTGTTTCCCCTGAGACCTGTGCCTGTCAGACAGGCAGCATCAGGATCCTTGTTAGAGGGATAGAAATTCAGGCGCCCTTCCACACTTTCTGAATTAGAGATTGTATTTTAACAGACTCCCTGGCATTTCATAGGCACGTTATGGTTTGAGAAACATTGCTGTCTTTTACATGCTCTTAATTTACTTTGCCATTTGGAAGACACTTCTTCACCTGTTGACCATTAGTATGAATTTGTTTTAAGTTGACTACCGTTTTTCATATACTGAAACTACGTATGACATCACTTCCGGGGGAAATGGTTGGCAGTGTATTACTGTTGATAAAATTATTTCATGTGGATTGCCAGATTTAACCATTTTGTCATCCTATGGAAATTTAAAGCACAATGGCAGACACACAGTTAGCCAACACATATTTATGGGAGGTTGAGGGAAGACAGAAGGAGTGACAGGTAGTTATATTCATTTGGTATTATACTTGCCTGTGGATACATAATTAGAGAACAGTGAGAACTCCCATGCAAGTTTTCAGGTCCTGTTTGTCATCCTGCCAACTGTACAATGGATTATGACTTTGTACATGAGATGGAATGTGGACCCTGGAGCAGCATGTGGGTGTCCCTGATGGGTCGTCATTGAGCCCCAAAGGACAAAGAACTCTGCTTTGGGCTGAGACACATCCCTAACCAAGTTTCCTCTGCAATGACTGGTCTGACAATTGGAGCCAGTTTCTCAGGACCTTCTGTACTTTTTTACCTTGATGTATCATGTGACCTTTTACAAATATGTCCTTAGCACTAACTGCTTCTTAATTCTGTAGACAGTAAGACTAACGTCAGTCCATTAATCTGGGAATGGTATGTTCCAGTAATTTATAAATAGATTTGAAGAGATTCTTTTATTCATCCACCTTTGTTAAGTAAATACTAAGCATTCTTATAGCTCTAATTACTCTGGATGGACTATAGGAACCAAATTGGGTTATATATATATATATATATATGATGTGTAGCTAGTGTGGAAAGCAATTAGAATACAGAGTCATATTTAGGAATCTCTCTTTATTCTTTTATTTCTTTTAGGTAGATTCTGTGGGGACAAGTTTCCTGAAGTTCTTACCTCTACAGACAGCAGAATGTGGATTGAGTTTCGTAGCAGCAGTAACTGGGTGGGAAAAGGCTTTGCAGCGGTCTATGAAGGCAAGTCCCATTAAGTTTTAGAGATGACTTCCCCTTACATCTCTTAGCAGAAATTTCCTTTCTCTCCATATCACTAGAATGATACTGTAACTACATTTTAATAATGAAGTTTCCTAAATCTGTGTTATAATATTTACAAGACTGATTTTACGAAAAACACTCAGTAAAATTAAATTGCAAGAACCTCTTTCTTGGTACCAGTGACATAGTAACATTTAAATGTATGTATGGATATGTGTGTGGGAGGGAATGACCCAAATTTCCATTGTTTCCATGATAGTATTAAAATGTCATGAAGAAATTTTGGTTTTTCCTTTGAATTAAATTTGTGTTTATTTAGTGCCTGTGCTGCTGAAATTCTCTGTTACAGGAAACTGCACAGAAAGTAATTGTGCACATTTCTGCAGCATGCTTTGTCTAAGTGAGAGAGTCAGCATTCAAGGGAGAATTTACCAACTGCTTTGTTCTATACTTCTCTGAAACAACAAACCAGCATTGTGTGTCCTGGCTTTAAAAAATAGCCTTTTTTGTTTTGTTTTGTTTTGTCAGGTTGTGGGCAGAAGAGACCTGTCTTGCGCCTGCTTCTGCTAGCACAGGGTTTAGGTAATTTAGAAGACAGGAGATTTCTGCTTCCCTTATAATTTAAGTAAACGGAAGCATTTTGCTGTAGAGATTAATTGGATGGCAGTGAAGGGGATTGTTTGGATGGAGCCACAGATGTTGAGCACATGATGCTAGCTCGCTGCTAGAGGCGCAGAGAATGCTGTGGAGCGTCTCTCTTGATCAGCTGTTTTACCTAAGCCCCAAAGACTATAAGAACCAGTCCAGGGAAATCATACAGAATATGCTAGAATATTCTACCACATAGAACACATTTACAAAATCTCGAACAGTTTTTAAAAGTTAAATACTGTTTTTGGTAAAGATGTAAAGAAACCATGATAAAAAAAAATCATATATTCCAGTGCCATTATCTAATATTTATAGTTAGCTGGCTGGGTTTTTACCATCTAAATATTTACAGCAGTACAACCAGCCAACTTTGATTTTTTTATAGTCCGGTCTTTATGCACTCAGCTACAGGCACTGAGCAAAAATGTTATCTCAGAAGAAAATGAAAATGAAATGTCAGGTATAGGTTTATTTATTTGCTTATTTTCACCCTCAGCGATCTGTGGAGGTGAGATACGTAAAAATGAAGGGCAGATTCAGTCTCCTAATTATCCTGATGACTACAGACCGATGAAGGAATGTGTGTGGAAAATAACAGTGTCAGAAGACTACTATGTTGGATTGACCTTCCAGGCCTTTGAGGTAAAGTGTTTCAGGCATCCTTCACAGAACATACCCTCCATAAATGACAGTGCCATTTAAGGGCATCCTCATTAAATAAGCAAAGAACCAGAGAATCAGCTTTTTAATCAGCTTTTTAATCAGTGAAGAAGCAAAGGAATGCCTATAAAATGTAACATCAATAGTGAAAGAGGTTTTTTTTTTCTTCTCCTTTCCTCTTGTCATAGACATTTTCAAGAAGATTAAAGTGAGTTTACATTATCTGTGCTATTTGAATTAGAATGTTTGAAGTACTGACAATAGCTTCCTTTGACAAATGCACAGGCTTGTTTCACAAGACTGCTTGAAGAGTCCATTAAATAATAGAACTTTTATTTCTCTTCTAAACTAAGAGGTTAAAAGGTAGACCATCATTTTTGGTGGTAGTGGTTGTTGTTATGGAGAAAATCCATTTTTCACCTTTTCATCATTACGTGGAAAACTGTTTATATCAGAAATGGAGATTCAAGTGTTTTTAGTTTTTGATTTCATCAAAAATATATATCAGGGAGGCGATCAGCACCTATATTACATTATTCGATGAAGGCACAATAAACCAAAGGTTAGGCAGAATTTTGGAGCAAATTCTGGGTCCTAAACTACCAAGCTGGCTAATGAGTCATTTTAGTGGGGCTGGGGGGCCTGAGTTAGGGATTGGAAGCCAAAAGATCAAGGACTTTATTGTGAACTCCATAGTATGTTTAAATCAAAGAATCAGTCTAAAAATTGAGAGCCCACCGGTGAAATGAGAAGGAATGATGAAACGAGGGTGGTAGGTCCAGACAGGGTTAAGATCCCAATGCCATAACTGGAGATGATTTCTTCTCTGGTTCGAAGGCTGATTCTCTGTCCCAGCAATGCAAAGGCGGTAGAGAACCCCTCCAGTGCCATGGTATGCTTGCCCCTGAGAGCAGTGAGTGTGCAGTTGTCTCTGTCCCTACAGCAGAAACATCAGCAGAGCCCAGGCATTACCCAGAAGCCCAGAGACTCTCACCTGCACATGCGAGCTGTGTAATGCATTTCTTTGGTACTTATCTTCACCCTTTTGCATGTGCCCTTTAATTTCCCAGATATATGGCCTTTTATTGTCTTCTCTTATATGGTCATAATGTTGTATTATATGCTCCCGATCATTTTGCAATTCAAACCTTGGTTCGTTCTTGAGATTATTTAATTCATATTTGGATTTTGTTATTTTACCAGATCAATAATATTGCAAACATTATTCAAATAGACCACCTTATTGTTAACAGTGAACTAAAACAGGATAGGATTCATCTGCTATTTAGACCAAAATAACAGGTTCAGTAAAAAATGATCTATCTAATGAGATCATTACTTGTATTTTTTTGATGTTGTCCAAATGATTAAGAGATGAACTTTGAATATATAATTCAAAGTTTTATGGAATTCTCCTATTGCAAAAGTGATGTCAATGAATGCATCTAAAATGGAATTCCATGCATTTAAAAATTGAGATACAATTTCTGAGATGCAGAAGGCTTAGTTGGTTGGTAGTTTTTTCTTTAATGCCAATATGGTTACAGTGGTATTCCTCAAAAATAGGATAGTGAAAGGACATGTAGGAAAGATTTACATCTCAGGCACTTAGAACCATGCCTGACACAGAGTGGTTGCTTAATAGATATTTGTTGATTGAGCAAATGAATAAATTATTACCAAGATTTGGGATTGGGGAAAAGTCATGTCATGTTTGGCATTGACACTACTTTTTATCTGTTATCTCTAGGTTCCTGTCCTTTTTTCATCTTGCTATATTTCCTTATGTTTTGTCTTGCTTTGTTTATATACTGGACATTTTCAAATATCTGATAGGTCTCTTATCTCCAGACCAAATTTTTGATTGTCTTGTCCTACTCACTAACTCAGTCTTCCCGATTTTAGTATTTACTATTTTCGTATGTCACTATTTACTTAAGAACTAGCCCTGATACCACTTTTTCTCTTAAACTCTGAGGCTGATCAGTTAACATATTTCGTTTGCTTTGTTTTCAACAATGCCCCAAACATGATCACTTGATCCCAGCTTTCTGGCCACTACTATGTTCCCACTGCTGCCCCTTCTCTTGGAACTTGGCGAAAATGTCACCTCTCTTCTCTTCCCCTCCATGTCCTGATCCACAGTAGCCAGAGTGACACTTTTACAATGTAAGTTAGATCATAACACAATGCTTAAATTCTTTTGGGGACAGGGGATCACCTGTGTGGCTCAGTCAGTTAAGTGGCCAACTCTTGATTTTGGCTCAGATCATGATCTCAGAGTTGTGAGATCGAGCCCCACATTAGGCTCTATGCTCAACAGGGAGTTGGCTTGAGATTCTCTCTATCCCTCTCTGCCTCCCTTTGCCCCTCACTCTACTTATGTGCTCTTTCTCTCTAAAGTAAATAAATAAATCTTTAAAAAAAATTCTTTCAGGGTTTTTCTATCACACCTAAAATAAAACCCAGACTTAGTGATCCTAGACCAAGACAACCCACAATTGGTCCCAAGCTGCTTCACACTCCCTCTGAGTCGATCTCTTTGGTCTTCTTTCTCTTCCATGGAAATACCAAGTTTACTCAATCTCATAGCATTTGTCATTGATGCTCTTCTACCTCTAAATCTATGCTTTTATTCCTCTCTTTTCATTTGGATCTCTTACTCATTGCCTCCTCAGAAAGTCCTGCTTGGTAACTCTATTTTATTCTGACCTACAATTGTCTGTCTACATACCATTATTCTGTTTCATTTTAATTTCTTGCTCTTACTACTACTGGAATTTAAGTTATGGATCTGTTCATTTACATGGTTGCTGTCTCTCTCACTAAAATATGATCACCAAAGGGTAAGGATCTTAACCTATCTTGTTGATCACCATATTTCCAACACCACTACATTCGTGATTCATACATGATGATGGGGGGATGAAAGAATGGATGGATTATAGGTAAAGGAGTGTGAGAGTGCATGATGATTGGTGGGTAGAAAGCAATATATCCTTCCTTTATCAAATATACCTAAATTTCTGTGCAGAAGGAGGCAAGCCTAGACAGCTAAGAAGAGTTTAGTTTATGCAGGAGCTGATATGCCTTATGGCTCAATTTAGAGAGATCCTCAATTCTAAGAAATTCAGGAGTGACAAGGAATTTAGAGATGCTCTAATATATCATCTAAATCTTCTAGATAAGGGAAATGAACTTATGTCATTAACCTAGTATCATTTAAGCAAGTACTAAACCAGCATCAAAATCCAGGTATAATCAATATTCATTATTCACAGATTTCTGTATCTGCAAACTTGCATACTAACTAAAATTTATTTGTAACCCCCAAATCAATACTTATGGTGTTTTCTGGGTCGTTCATGGACATACACAGAGCTGCATAATATTTGAGTCATCTGACATGCTCATCCCCAGATATGATGTGTTTTATGGAGAAAATGTATGGGTTAGATAAACATTGTTCAGGGATGCATTATAATGCAGTTAGCTGTGAATTGTATTAATGAATTGGCAACATATATTAAGGTGTCTTTAAAGAGAAACACACATGAAACCAGGTTATGAGTGACTGGTTGACAAAAGATTTGTAACCAGAAGCTCACCAGAACCCAATTCTGTATTTTCTCAGAAGGAATGAATCAGTATTTACTAATTCAGTGTTTTCAGCAACTTTATAGAATTTAACTACCCTGAATACTGAGAATCAATCATGTATATATTTTTAATTTGTTCTGGTGGTCATTAGGTGATTTGTTTCACCTAGTTGATTTGTATCTGTTTATATCAATTTATTTTTATTTACGTAATATATTTTCAGTCTTTGGCTTTTATATTTTATTTTGAAGATGTATAAGTATAAAATTTCTCGCCACTTCTTAGTGTTTTGTGGTTTTGTCTGATCAAACAGTTTTATTCATTGATATTAGTATTTGCCTTTATTAAAAAACTCTTATTTTGGGGGCACCTGGGTAGCTCAGTGGGTTAAAGCCTCTGCCTTCGGCTCAGGTCATGATCTCAGGGTCCTGGGATCGAGTCCCGCATTGGGCTCTCTGTTCAGGGGTGAGCCTGCTTCCTCCTCTCTCTCTCTCTTCCTGCCTCTCTGCCTACTTGTGATCTCTGTCTGTCAAATAAATAAATAAATCTAAAAAAAACCCCAAAACACTTATTTTTGTAACTTTTTATTTTTGTTTTATTTTCTATGTTACACTTTCCCCTTAGATAAAAGGGGCCTAAATACAAATATGTCCATCATTTTGTTGAAATCCACCATAAAGAACTTAATAGTTATCTATTATTTATACCTTTTGGTGAACTTATGTTGTGACTTTAGGTCTTCTATGCTACTTAGATTTTAATGTGAGTACAGAAAGAAAATCTGAACAAGGGTCTTTGCTAATGAATTTCAGGTATCTTTGAGAAGGAAAGGATACTGTTTGGAGGTCAATAGACTTCTGATACGTCTGTAGTTTTACCGTTTGGGAACCTTGTTCTTCTCTAGTAGTTATGACACATTGCTTCTTAAGGCGGTACTGCAGTAGGTTTGAATGTGGATGTAGATCATGTCAGAAATAATTTTGGGGTTATTTGTAAAGAAACCTCTATATTACTGTTTTGTGCGAGCACTTTCAGTGTGCAGAAATGCAGAAGAGAAAAAGTTTGGGAGATTGGAAATGTTTATAGTAACAACTTCAAAGAAATGTCCACAAAGCGGAAAAGAAGTAAAATAAATCTGGAGCTTAGTTATGTTTACACTGAAATCCCCACATACATTAATTTAAGTGGGATTAAGTTTGAGGTACTTGTCAGCCTTTCTATACACTCTGATTTGGTTGTACTTCCCTTAGAAAAATCACAAATGTTTAATAGTCTTACCCATTATTACTGCAAGCTGCACAATTGTAAACTATGTTCAAAAGTTCTTATCTTGATACTTTGAGGATTGCCTGACTACAAGTAATCCTTTAATTCCTTTAAAT